ATATATATATATATATATATATATATATATATATATATATATATATTATACACACACACAAAGAAAAACAAGTAGATAGAATACAAAAATAGAAAGATAGTGTTTGTTTGTTTTGTTTTTTGTTTTTTTTCAATAAAAAAAGAAGATAAAAATAGATAAAGTAGATTTAAAATAGAATTAAAATATAATAGAAAGTGCTAGAGTTAGAGGGTCAAATAAAGGTGGAACAGATGTGTTTTAGTCGTTTCTTGAAGATGGTTAAGGACTCAGCTGCTCAGATTGATTTGGGCAGGTCATTCCACCAGGAGGGAACAGTTAATGAAAAAGTCAGTGAAAGTGATTTTGTGCCTCTTTGAGATGTACTTTGTATGTAGGTATTTTAAAATATATTGAACAGAAAACAGGTATTTTAAACAGTAATAATATTTTACTGTGTATTCTACTGTATTTTGTATCAACTAAATGCAGCCTTGTTGAGCATAAGAGACTTCTTTTGAATGTAGATAACATCACAGAGGAACAAGATGCATTCAGATCACATCTGAAGGTATTTGAAGGCACATGACACAAAAAGCACCTAACCTGAGGGGGAATTTGACTTGTATCTTTAAGTACCAAATGTACTATATCTGTATGCGTGTGGGTTTGCCTGAAGAGCTGGGCAGCAGAGGAAGTGGAGGGGGTGGCACACAGCCTCAGCTGAAATCCTGAGTACACACTGCCCTTTACAAAGGCAAATTGCCGGGAGATATTGAGCCCGCTGTGTCTGTATCCATGGCAACAGAGGAAGTTCAGGAGAACAGTAAAGTACAACATAGCTGACGTAAAGGGAGGCGCACGTCGATGTCGAAGGGCTGATGCTGATGTGCACTGCTGGGATTCACATATGTGAGTGTGAGGCCAGGGAGGGTTCAAGACATTAACTATAAGGTTTGCGAGTTCATTTTCATACATGGACGATGACTCTCTGGTGTAATGCTAACTCACTTCAATAAGCTTCCGGACACACAGTTTGAGGTTGAAACAAATATGAAAATAAATAAGCCTTTATAATATGCTGCAAATTACGAGAAATATGAAATCCCTGTAAACAATGAATGCCTAATGAGACTCATTTATGTATAGAGCTGGGTTTTAATTTATGAGACTGCATGTTTGAACACACTGGAGAACTCTGTGCCCATTATGTCAATTCAATGCCTGTACACTTCAATAAAATGTAATTAACTAAAACATTAATGTAATGAATTGAAAGCAACTCACAAATGCAAAATAAACATCAATGATCACATATCCTGCAGCTTTGATTGTGGAATAGCTTTTTTACAAGATGTTTTCTAACAGTGTTCTCTGTTAAAGTTCACAATATATGTGACCCTGGACCACAAAACCAGTCTTAA